AGCTTCTCTCTGAGGTATCAGCCACAACAATGTCTTATTTTGCATTGGAACAAGCGCACCATGGCATGGGTGGAACAGTGCAGAGCTTGCAGACACCCTTCCAGAAATGTCTATGTCTTAATCTGCTGGAATCCACCATAAAATGGCTCGCGAAGGCAATACGCTAGCTAAGCAACCTCTCTGGTTCTCAGACACAGATGCAAAACAACTGCTCCTAGAATGGAAAAAAAGGGTAAGGTAAGCCTTTAATTATGTTTTGACTGAACACAACCAAGAAAAAAATGAATCAGAGAAAAACAATCTTGACCCATAAGGGGCTGCAAAAGCAAACATTGAAGCACACGGGGCTGTGGTTGGGTGGGGAAAGGGGCTGTAAGGAATTCTGAAGGTGTTTGTAACATGTTTCTAAGGGAAGGCTGCTGTTTAATCTCTGCCCTAAAAGCCGATCGATGATCTAACAAATGAAAATTTGTTTCACATTAGAGGCTTGTCCTTTCAAAATGAGAAGTCTAAGTGCACAATGTTCTGACCTAAAATATTTCAATTCCAGCCTGAATTCCTATGCCAGCGGGGATTATGAGATCATGCTGTCTGTCAACTCCTCTTTCGTCCATCTGTTCCCCTCCTCCTTTCCTTGATAACTTTTGAACCTTCAGGCTAATTTTCACCAAATTTGACAAAGCAGAGATAGGATGGAGGCTGCAACGATAATCTGTGGTGAAAACTTTCACAAAAATTCCACGTCTGGGCAGAAAGAAAAATAAATATTTCCTGCCCTGAATGTGCCCAAAGGCTGGCCCAATTGAGCTCTTCACTGTTTTCAGAGGTGGCTACTGGCCAGCATGTATGTAGCTCCAAACCAGCTACAGAGTGAGCATATAGTCCTGCTTGCCCAGCTAAACAGATGGGGACGTAGGTTTTGTGAAAGGCCACAGGGGAGGTGGGACATCGTATGTGTGTGCGAGCCTGGAAAGAGGGAGAGGAACCAGCCTCACAGGGAAGTGAAGGCACTAATTGCAGCGATCCAGATAGACAATTTGATTGATGGCAGACAGACAGTCTTTTATCAGATGTGTCTCCTTTCGTCTAGGATGGGGACTTTGGTCACAGAGCTGAATTGCTCTCAGAACAGCAGAATTTTAGAGAGTTTTCTAGGTATTAATGACATTTATGATTTTTTTCTAAAAAGAACCCCACAATACTGTGAAGCACAAGCCTCCAAAATACTACTGTAGGACAAGTTGATTTTAGTGCAAGTACCTGAACAGAAACAGCATCATCTTATGAAATACGCTAGTGAATGCTTCTGTTCCTTCCCCGTTGGAAAAACGCAATGTACTCTGTCTGCAAGATGATTTGAAAACTTCAGCTAGCCTAAACTGCAGCTGCATATCAGGCTGTCATCTAACGGGGAGGAATTCAACACTACAGCTCTTTTCTACCCATGAGAACTCACTGCCGGGCCAGGGTCTAATTTAAAAGTGTCTTGCACAGCCCACGTTAGTCCAGAAATCAACAAACTTCACTTTGCAGGCGATACAGGTGCTGATTTTGATCTAGAAAACCTCATGCAAGTCAGTCGTAGCTGTGCTGAGCAGCGAGGTTGCTCATTTCCCTGTGTTGATTCATTTCAACAATTGCATTAAATGAGATTAGAGAAGCTGCACATTTAGGACATGTAGTGGGAGCGCTCAGCCACCCACATACAGACTGGGTCAATGCCTCATCAGGGTGAAATGTAGAGGTAACATTTCTGGATGGAAGAAACAACTTCCTTCTAGAATAACTGGCCTTAGAAACCACAATTAAAAAAAAAAAAAAGCCATTCTGAATTTAGTCTTCAGCAGTGCAGAAGATCTAATTCAAGCGCTATTAGTGGGTGAGCTGCTCCATAGTAGCAACCACAATATAATTAAACTTAACACTGTAAGAAGACAGCGAGACAAATAAAGCAAATGGATACTCAATTTTTTTTTAAGAACACGACCTATGCAAAAATGGGGGAAAATGCCAGAAAACCCAAAATGAGCAGTTTAAAAGCAAGAAGCCTACGAACACCCAGAAGGCTTAAAAAAATACTGTACTAGAAGCCCAGGTAAAATGTCTGACAGGAATAGAAAACCGTGGCCCAAACCTCCTCCCTGCACAACTCAATGAGAAAGTTAAGGAGGCTGTCGCCGGGGAAGTAGGGAACCCCTGAAAAACGTGGCAAGCGAAATGTACACAAGAAACAAAGATGGCTAAACTCGAGGAGTGGCTGATCAAGGATGCTCGAACTGTTAGTGAAAAGTCCATGAGATGCTCGACACAGAACCAGCCCTCGCAATGCAGAGGAGGTCCCAGCTGTTGCCAAGAGCTTCCTGGTGGCTCCGTGGGCAGCGGCAGCCAAAATGCCAGAAAAGCAGGGAGCATTGTAAAGGATGGCGTTGGAAACGAGGATTTTGTAGAAAACCTTGGTGCACGCCCCCCTCAAGGTCTGTGTGCCGCCTCTGCACCTCAAGCCAGGCACGGCAATGTTTTAAGAGAGAGGAGGAGAAGTAACATCCTTGAGAGAACAGAGCACTTGGAGATGCCAGAGTTTGGGAATTCTCCAACCTGAAGAGGACCAAGCTGAAGGGAAATGTACTGGTGTTTTCTAAATTGCTAGGAAAGCTGCAGATAAGATAGTCAATCGCGGAGGTGGTGTTCACCAAACCCTGCAATGCTAGAGCTGAGGGTCATTTGATGGGATTAGGAGGTGGGTTAAAACACAATTAAGAAAGTGGTCTTTTTTAGCAGCAGGTGCTGAAGTCCTGGCATTTGTTCCTTACAAAGTTTTGGGGGATATCAGCAGGTTCAGGTTTTAGTGGGTATTGGCAGGTTCAAAAAAGGCACTAGACAAATTAGCCCTTGGTCATAAAAGTCCATGACAAAATGTTAGAAGGGCTTGGCAGGGATAACTCAGTAAGACAGCAACTCTGGAGAGAAAAGCAGGTGGCCATCATTAGCCCGGTCTCTCAGCCTGAGGGAGGCTGGTGGACGGACAGGCCCGAGCCCTGCTTTTGGTCACCGCTGAGCGACATCAGGCCTCCCTCATCCCCTCCCTCCCACACGCCGGGCGCCATTGCGCCCACAACGATCACAGGCCAGACCGGAGAGGAACAGGGTAGCGCTGCGGGCGGACGCGACCCCCGCTGAGGAGAGGACTCGTGCCCACAAACCCCCGCCCTGAGGATCGCCCGCACCGCGCAGGGACCGCCCCCGCCCCCTGAGGAGAGACCCCGCGGGCTGAGGCCGGGGGCGGAGCGGGGGGAGGAAGAGGTGCGGCCGCGCAGGCGCAGTCGGCGGCGGGGCGGTGGCCGAGGGGAGGCCGCGCGAGACTTGGCGCGTGGCGGGCGTTTCGAGCCGTTGGCGTTCTGGCCGCCGGCGGGGGCTTCCCCTCCTCCCTTTCCTCGCGCGTGGAGAGGACGCTGCCCACGCGCTACCTCAGCCTTCCCGCCATTTTCTCCCTTCTCCTCCCCTCAGTCGCGGAGGCAGAGCGGCGAGGTGAGTATGGGGCGGCTCCCACCGGAAAGGGGGACAAGCTGCCGCGGCGTCTCCTCCCCTCTCCTCGCCCTGCCCGGGGTGGGCTCTTAGCTGGGATCCCCTCGGGGCTGTGGAGGCAGCAGCTGTCCCCCCCAGGCCCCCCGGGGTTGGGACGGTGCCGGCGGGTTTTTGGGCTCGTCAGCTCTGGGAGGGAAGGCCCTGAAGGCCCCACTCGTGCGGCCCTGTGCTGGGGACGGGGATCGTGGGTAGCTGCCTCAGGGGTCCGAAGATATTATTTGTGGCGGCTTGAGCGGCAGTGTCAGCGTGCCCCAGTGATCTGCGGACACGTACGTAAAGCTACGCCCGCTCCTTTCTATTTACTTGTTTTGACGACAGGCCTTTTTTACCCCTGAAGGCAGAGTGTAGTTGGAAGGCTGCCCTGGGACGTGAAATTTGCATAAAAAACTTATATAAACTGTAACTTAAAGCTAAATTGAAAAGAGAGGGAATTTCAGAAGGATTCGTTTGCTTGTTCAGCACTCATGCCCTCCTGGTTGGCTGGCAAAGTGGGGTTTTCTGTTGGAATGTGTGTTCTAGAAACAGTGTACTAAGTTATACCAAATCAACACTCCCCGCCCCCAAATGTTACCAGAGTATTGCAGACAAGGCTTCCTGTCTTTCTTGATAATTTATTCTATTCTTTGTTGTCTGTTGTGCTCACTTTAGGATCCTGAAGCTGAGGATTTGATTGCTGGGAAACAGTAAAACAGCAAACTCCTTTTTCTGGTAACTTTTAAGTTGTGACTGTTTTCACAAGAGTATTTAAACTGATCGTAATTTTAATTTTTTATAATTGATTAAAAAACTGCAATAAGTTGAGGTATTTTTATGCTAAAGGCTTTCATGTTCTGTTTCCAGAGGAAACTTTAAAATGAAGGTTTAAAGTCAACATTCTGCTGCTGAAGTAAAAAAAGTGCAGTATAACATCACTAGTTTTGTTTTTAGAACAAGCTGGAAGCTCTCATTTTGGAAGAGTTAAAATGATTGTGGGTGGGGTTTTTTATTTAATGTGAGGAGAGCTCTATAAGTAAATAACTTTTGCAGGCCAATGAATGAATCATTATTTACACCTATTGCTTTTGAATTAATGGCAGTATTCTATTTTAATAGTAAATTTAGGTGTATTAAGGAAAAAACACAAATGTTTGTGAAGATCAGGGATTTAACTGGTGTAAAAAGGATGTATCCTGATTTGATGAACAGGATATATTGAGACATCCCTGATATAAAAAATGGTTTGTAGTTTTTGAATAGCCCCTGTAATCCAGAATAGCATTCAGTTTTGTGGTGTGATCTGACACTTCCTTTTCCCTGTGCAGACTCCTTTTATTAGAATACTGAGTAGTCATTTAAAATGACAAAAAAAATTACAACCGGAATATTACCCCAGATTTTTTCATGTGTTTGGATCTTCTCTGCTTAAAATTATTTTAATCATGAGCTGTGGAAAGGATTTTGTGGAAACACTAAAGAAAACTGGATATCCAAAAGCTGATGAGCTTAATGGAGAAGATTTTGACTGGCTGTTTGAGTCTTTGGAAGACAAATCATTTCTGGAGTGGTTCTGTGGAAATATAAATGAGCAGCATGGGGTATCTGAAAAAGAACTGCAAGATTTTGATAGTCTTCTTGAGTCTGGTAAGCTTGTTTTGGAAGGAAATGCACTGGATGAAGCACTTAAAACCTTGAACCCCATGGATTCAAAGAGTAGTAGCCAAGAGGAGGAGAAAGAAGAGGAACTGAAAAATTTAGAGGATGAGCTTCAAGCTCTTCACAAGTTAAAAAAACTTCAAATTCATCGGCATAATAAGCTTCAAATGATGATTTCTGCAAACAGCCATACGTTACAAACATTAAAAAACAGAGAGGAAGAAGCACGTAAAGATTGGAGAGAAGGACTGCAGGTGTCTACTGAAGCAAATAATGAGCTTAATAATGAACTGCTCTCTCTTATGGATGCAACCAAGAAACTGTCGTCTGTCTTCACTGCTTCAGATTCAGAACAAGGGTCAGGTCCACATCCAGTGTTTTTTCACCAGCTTTCTTTGGACAAGTATTTGTCTCAGGAAGAACAAAAGACTGCAGCACTTACCTCATATGTAAATAAACATTTTTCTGAAGGTATATCTGAATGGGTTGAAAATTCACAGGAAGGCAGCCTTCAGCGTGCAGATGCAAGCCAACAAGTCACTTGTGATGAGGCTAATGAAGTTTGTGAAGAGAGTCAAGAGATCGCCAGGCTCCAGACAGCATATATTTGTGCTCAATATCAGCTAATTCAAACACAAGCTAAAGAGGAGAGCATGAATTCAGCTAAAAAATGCATGGAGAGCATGCTGCAGTCCTTAAACAACAAGGTAGGCCACAAAAGGTGACAGAAGGTAGCAGCGTTTTAAACAGGCAGATGTGTTTAACTGCATCGAGTAAAAGGAATTGTTGAGTTACTGTTATTTCAACTATTTTTACATCATGAAATTGTGCTTTTATGAAGTTTTAGTCTTGCTTACAAAACTTTCGTGAACTAGCTCCAGTTTCTGTAGTTAGAAGTTCTTTGGTATGGCAGAGTGCCTTTAATTCTACTTTCCAGAATTACTACCTTAAAAAAATGTTAAATTTACTAGTAACTTTTCAGTTTAGTTTAACTTTGAAATTTCAAATTATAACTGGCTATCAGTTGTTTGTACAACAAACAAAATCTTAAATTTGGTTGAAATTTTCTGGTGTTGAGTAGCTAATATGATAAATGTATTCCTGTTTATATTGCATAGCATAAACCTCAAAAGTTTCAGTTCACTGACTATTTTGAAACTCAAGTACTTGTAGTGTGGTGACATTATAGTGACGTGTTTTAAATACCAAATAAATGGATTGTATAGTTGAAGCCCCCGAAATCTCTGAACAAGTGAGTGACTGGCAGATATGACTATTGGATTTTAAGAATGTGAAGAAATCATAACAGAAGGAAAAATATTAGCTTATGCAAGTCATGGACTAACTTGAGGCATCGTGTCAGTTTGTATGTTTTCATTTACAGATGTCTAGCATATAGTACTTGATTGATTACAGTAATTTGAAAAAGATTGATTCTGATAGCAGTGCTGATAGTCATCTGACTGAATATAAAAAATTATGTTTGCATGTGAAATTTCAGTTAGAGGTGCTTGAAATCTGGATACTAAGTAAAATTACAGCTTTTCTATTTTTTTTACAATAAACTGTTTTCTGGCTCTGCAATGGAGTGAAATTACTATTTATTGAAATACATTTATTTGATATCTACTTTTAAAATCTGTATTTGCCTTACAGTGTAAAGTTGCGTAGAACTGCTTTATAGAGTTTTCATTTGTTTTTGTTGATCCAAGAGATGCAGTGATTTTTTTCAATGTAACAGAAATACATGAATCTTGTGTGAACTGACAAAATGCGTTGGGGAAATGACTTGGAGGGGAACCATGAAGAAATTGACAAATATTTTTCTTTGTGCAGGATATTGAAAAACCACAAAACCTGCATGCCAAAATATCTCATTTAAATGATAAAATTTCAGCAATTAAACAAGAAATAACTCGGATAAACAATGAAGAGCTGCTTCCCCTTCTGAAAGAGAAGGCACAAATTTTGAGTGCACCAGTGGTGAGAGAATACTTGAATCATCAGATTGCTCAGCAGGACTATTATGCTTCAAGACAAGATGAAATATGCAGGTATTTGATAAGGCAGAAGGCATCATTTGAACTTCTTGAGCTAGCCTATGAAAGGGAGTTGAAGAAGCATGAAGACATTTGCTCTCAACTTAATAATTTGCTAGAATCTCTGAAACAGAGCAGTAATGAGTTGCAACAGAGACTACAGGTGGTAACTGAGCAAACTCAACATGCAAAGCCAAGGAACACTATTAGTTTAAAGGATGGTTTCTCTTGCAGGTAAGTGTTATATTGAACTTTGACTTAATTTGAAATAATAATGGGGAGATAAAGGCTTAGGCAAGGTAAGCCTTTTCTATTGCTAAGTTCTTGGTTACTTGCTATAGCTAATTAGTATTTTGAATTCTCCAGAACTGAAGCCTTCAAGATATGAGATTTGCATCTTATCCTTTGAAATTCTTTTCACTTTTACCTGAGGAAAAACTGTTTGATTATCAGTCTTGTTAATATTGCTGAAACATTCCCAAGCAATATCTAGAATACAATGAATATCTAAAGCTAAACCTGTGTTATATGTTGCCCTGATCTTAGAGTGGCTTGAAAGTTGTTCTAGCAGTATAGATGTAGAGAGCTGTTAGTAACAGTGGTTTCCCAGATCATGTGCGTGGCCTCATCAGCTTAGCCTGCGAAAACCCCCTTGTGGTAGAGGAGAGGAACGACTCCTTCAATATATGAAACGTGTTTAGCTCATTTTTACTGCTTGATTTGTCATCTGGCTTCTATGCCCTGTCACCCATGTAGGAGTGTAGTTTTTCACTAAGTAATTAAGTCCCCTTGTAGCTTGTGTGATACAGTAAGAATGTGTGCTGTGTTGCTGTCACTTCAAGACTAAACCTTGAAGACTGAACCTTGATGTAGAATTGTATTGTAGAATGATTTGTGTGTTAATGTCGGTTAATGTTTCTCCTTCTTTAAAATTGAGCTTTAAGAATTTTTTAATAATAAAGTGATAATTGAGTAGGGTCTTGCACAGTGAATAACTGCAAGAATTAGGCAGCATTAATTTTGCTCTCATTGCACGTTTGCATTGGCAACTTGTAACATTTTTGTTCAGGTGTATTATTAAGTCTCTAATCACTGAATCAGAATGTTGTCTGGCTACTTTTTCACTTTTTTTTTTTTTTAAAGCATGTATATTCATGATTTTGAAGGGAAGTTGAAAAAGTTAAAACCCCTAAAGGGCTTGTAAGAAAAACACACCTCAAAGAAACTGTTACTTTTGAAATACACCTCCTGCTCTTATTAAAATCAATCTTATTCTCTATTTGGGCTCAACTCCTGAATACTCAGAGGTGGTAGTAGCAACCGAGCACAGTTATCTGTGATTGTATTTGAGTCTTTTGGATGCAGTGTAAGGGTACAGCAGGTATTGCTGTTTTTTGCATGACTCATAACTAATTGGAGAATTTCTTGGCAGTCTCTTAATAGATAGAAAACGGGAAATATGCCAGGAAGCTTGAAAATGTTACAAAGATTTCTCTTATTTTTCATTGGCCATTGAAGTCTGCTGTTTTTCAGCACTTAAAAAAAATGGGTCTGTCTTTGTTGTCCTTGAAGTGTCAGGAAATAGTTGGCAAAAGCACGTTGTCAACCTCTACTTGCATTTATTCTGTACTTATTAATTGTTACTTTGATATTTCATTGCTTGCTGTTAATTTAATATTTAAATAGTTTGGAGTGAAATTAATCGCACGCTAGCTATATATAGATAGAATTCTTAAACCAGAGGAAGATAAAGCAGTGTAGTAAGAGTACTGTCCTTTACTAGTCCTCTGACTTCTCAACATGAACATCTTCTCTTGACTAATAGCGGCAGGAGTGCTTAGAAAGCTTAAAAACTCTTGTGTGTCTAACTTCGTTTGTTATAGGCTATATCAGCTTCTGGAAGGAGAAAAACCACAGCAGTTGTTTAAAACATATGAAAGACTGGAGCAGATGGCCCAGAAGTTAAAGCAGGACTGTGCTACAGTACAAGATCAGCTAGCAGCATCTTATCAAGAAGAGTCTTTCCTTTTATCCAAGCTAGGAAGGGATCTACGTACCCTTCAGGACGCTCTGTATCATGGAGGAAATGAGATACAACTCGGTAGTCAGGTAAGCCCTTATCTAGTTATTAAAATTATTACATCAATGTGTGTCATGTTTTTTTACTGAGAAAACTGTAGTATGAAGGCTGCCGATGCACAAACTGGCTCCTGTATGTCAAGGAACAAATGTATTAGCATAATGACAATGGGCTCAGTGCTTACATTGTTCCTAGCAAATGTTGGATTTTGTAAATGTTGGCAGGTAATAACATTGTCTCTGAGCAAATTGTTGCATCTAACTGTTAATTTCTTTTGAAGGCATATACAGTCATAAACTAGTAAGTTTATGGTGTGGGAAATATGTCGTCTAGATATGGTGTCACTGGAAAACTTGTTTAAACTTCTCTTCGTGTCAGATGGGCTTTTTCCCTCCCTGTAACACCTGAATAGTACGATTTGACCCCTTAAAAAGCCTGGCTATAGGTGACTCATTTGGACAAAATAAGCATATCAGAATTTTGAAGGATTGCTGTAGTAGGACAATCCTGCTACAGAGCTCCCATGTGTTGGATTTAGAGCCTCTTTTAAAAGGGAATAGGGGATGTTAAATGCAACTTATTATGGTTTTTAAATAATTGTAGGTACCTCCAAAATGGATTGAGGGAAGTTTTCTTTGGTTAAATACATAAAAAAATATATCTAACGCTTCAATCAAATGAATTTGCAACATATAGAACAGTTTTTATTAAAAATTGAAACTGTGTAATTGGAACAATATGTATTTAAGGCTTACACATTATTAAATCAATCAAATACCTTGCTATTGATTCAAGTTACTCTTCCAACATAGTGACATCACTTTTCTTGATAAACAGTAGAAATAGAAAGACATTCCTATAATAAGGAAATAATGTGCAAGTGGATGACTAGCCTGCTTACACTGAGCTATTCATAACAATGACAGTTGGGAAAATTGTAACTGGTAATTAATGATTTAATTTTTAAATTGGGTTTTTTGTTATGGAGGGTTTTTTTTTGTTCCCTTTTAAGATTTGACAAGCTATGAAGACTTGTGGTTGATTGGAAATGTTATTCAACTGTCTATTAGTTAAGAGCCAGATTCTTAATGGTCTTAACTCATCTGGTTTAGTAACCAAGTAAATGAAATTACATTGTCATAACCTGATGTGAGCACTGTCACAGGGAGCTTAAAAGTTACATAAATTGAATGGAGTCTCTTATCACCTGTGTTTCAGTTTTCTGTGGTGACTTTTCACTTACAAATGAAAATGGCTTCCAAAAGCAAAAACTTTTATATTTCTAGTTCAATAGGTGTATTAACAATATAAAAGTGATTTTTTTTTTTTTTTTTTTTTTTTTTTTTTTTTTTGTCTTGCGTTTTTTGTTAGGAACTTTGTGAGCAGTTTCTTCAACTGGAAGCCGATATAAATAAACTAAATCAACTCCTTTTGGATCTGATTGCTGATGTGAAGTCAAAGAGAAACTTCTTAGAGTCCAATAAGCTGCATCAGATGCAAAGAAACTTGTATGTGTATTTTTTCAATGATGAAGACCACTTGAAAGAGATGGTGGAGAAGCTTGAGCAGCAGTCTGAAGCTAAGGCCAGTGTCCTGGAAGATCAGAATTTCACCACCAGTGGAGTTCTTAATGATTAAACTTCAGTGTACTCTTAAGAAAGGAGAGCATGTTAATGTAAACTGTCTACAAGTTTATGGAATGATAAGTGTAAGCTTATCAAGCCTGACATTTATCTGTCATTGCAGTCTATCTTTAGCTGCCACGATTACCAGGTTTGGATTGTATGCTGCTTTATGGCTTTTTGCATCTGCCCAACAAGTTCAAATCTCAATTCTGTCAAAGCCCTTTGACATGAAGTGATACATTTGTTATTTGAATGAATTACATTCAGGCTGCTTTTCTACTACCCTGTGTGTGGATTTCCACTGCTCACAGCATAGCGCAAAAAGGAACATTTCATACCCTTGAGATAAGTTTTCTTGCATGCTAAGAGCCTTTGATATGTCAACTGAAAAATTAATGTGGAGAACGCATTCCAGATTTTGGAACATGAATGTGATGTACTCCTTCTGCAGAGGAGTGGTCTCCAAGGCAGATATCCCGTGATTGTCTTGCAGCTCTCCTAAGAAGATTTGGGTTTGTTAGAAATGTGTTGGAATATGTACCAGAATCTGTTTCAAGTACCAAGATAATCTGTTTTAAGACCATTCTGGTATCTCTTAATTTAACTTATGGCCTGTCTTCTCCGTTGAAACCAGGCCATGCACATACTGAGCTCTTCAAAGAAAAATAATTTTATATTTACCTTTTGGACTTCTGAGTTTGCTCTATAATTTATAATGCTAGATGTTTCAATTCAGAGTCCTGATGCTTTCATACTTGCTTTCATGTGCATTGTTAGACTGTATATCAAATTTTTGTGTAGCTTTCTAATATACCAATGGAACGAAGTAGACTTTTGTAGTATGATAACTTCCAGTCTTTTATGTTTTGATGGGATCAGCTATGCTTGCATTCAAGTGTTGTACATATAGGTGAAGGTTAGTAAATTAGCTTTAACTTCAATAACAGTAATGTTAAAACTATTTTGATGGTGTTTAACTTTTATGTGAGTATAACTTATTTCTAAATGTTTAAAAATTTTTTAACTTGCTGGTTTGATGTCTTAATATCTGGATTTCTTGCTGCTTAACTCTATATATTGTGTTTATTATTAAATGCCAAGCACTATAAATTCTGTTCGGTGTTGTCAATATTTATGGTGAATCTGTGTGTGGGTTTTAGATATTAACAAGCCACTATGCATGAGAATATATTTCATCTGCTATGACCTCATTTTGATATGCACCCGAGGGTTTAATACTGCTCCTTTGCACCCTGAGAAGTCTGGGAGCATTCTTACCCTGTGTAATAAAGAAGTGTTGCTCTTAATTATAAAAGTTAGGAGGAGTTGTGCATGGGGAAAGATTATACTTCTGTCTCCTGGAATGTCATGGAAAAGGAAGCCATTCTGTGCCTCTCTGTCTTTTGCATGCTTACTGTAAAATTTGAGCTAGATAGATATAACTAATACTAATGCAGCTTGACGGATGTTCCTCTTCCAATCTGGATACAAATGTTTTTACTTTTAAGTATTCCAACTTGCAATCTGTCTATGGTCTTGAGCTAAGAAAAATATTTCCATGTAAGCAGAGGAAATATTGTTTACTTGGTGGTTAAATTTGACTTGAAAGTTTCCTCATGCACTGGATTTAGTGGGAAGAGACCAGATTAACAGGACTCCAGTTACTAACCTGTATAGGAGAACAGCAGTTTTTGGTAGAGCAGTTGACTTGTACAGCTTGAATCCCTTAAATATCTTGAAAATGTTGGGTGTTTATCTTGTGTTTGTGGTAAGTTTTATGCGGTGTTCTGGCTTAACTATATAAAGTCAACAAATTCACGAGTATGGATGCTGTTGTTTCTAATTGTTCCATATGTGGAACACAGAGGGTCTCCAGGTATCTTCTGTGTATTACAGAATATGGCTACAGGACAACTGAAAAAGCAACTAATTTTCAAACAGATAAAATTTAGAACAGCAATAGCTGGAGACAAAGCCTGTAGAGACTGTAGATGTTGCTGACCTGCTTCTTAATTTGATAAACTATAGTAAATATTTTAATGTTACTAACATTTAATAGTAATTGGGTACATCAGTTATGCAAAGCTTAAGGTACAGAGGTCTTTTATGGTCAATATTTTCTGAAACAACACATCCTTAATGTCTGTCTGTCATGATTGTAATACTTGTTTCTTTCACCTTGTGTTAGCTCTATTTTGGCAATTAGCTGAAAGGCTTTTTCCTCAATAAAACTGGAACACCAATACCAGTAAATATATAAATACACTAGTGTAAAGATGTTGAGGAGGGGGAAAGTATTTCAGGCATAAACAGTAATTCTTGTTTCATTTGTCAGATATTTTTTTTTATTAGAAGTTAGTTTTACTTAATAGGACTGCTTCATATTTTTTTTTACTCGTCTATTAAAACACTTTCAAATAAGTTTCACGTAGTGGTTTTTGTCAATTATTACAATTTGCTAATTTTTATTTACAGTACATAGACACTGATAGGTATGTCAGGGAGGAGGTGTCATTTTCTATCAAGGAGAATGAATGACTGAACTTATTGACTATATTTTTTCTCTAATAATGGCTGAGCTTCTTGACTATATTTTGTCTCTAATTTCAACAGAATGTAAGTGCAGATTGTTCTGTGGCCCTGATATAATGCATAATTTCTGTGTTCTGTGTTTAGGTTTAATCTTAAAAATGGAACAGTACACATCATACATAGAATGTGAGACTTCTAAAGTGCCTTTATCTGATATTGCTCAGAGGATTATGACAGCTTTGCAGTCTATTCCTGTAGAAGTTCAGGCTAGCAGGAAGAATAACCAGAGTAAGTAAATCTTAGCCTATTTTTTAGTTTCTATTTTCAGTTGAAAAACTGAAACGCAAACAAACAAAAGTATCAAACCTCTAGTCCTGATTTAAAAAGGAAAAACAGGTGACAGTTTAGATTTCCAGATTTAAAAACAGGAGTTAAGCTGTAACTGGCATTTACTGGGACTTTTCTGATTAAATAATGCTATATGAGTGCAAGGAACTAGTTTATTACCAGTATCCTCAATTTCATTATTTTCTGTTCTTCCTGTTCCCGCTATGTGGTATAGAAGTAGATGAGAATTTTAAACGATTTGTTACCTAATACTGTAAATTAAAATATATACATTAAATATCTAATCCAGAATCAAGTTTAAGATCACCTGAGGTAATAGGACCTTGCCAAAAGGCCTGTGAACTCTCCGGACTGCCCTTTAAACACATGTTCATTAGCAGCTTGCTCCTTGAGAAATTCTAGGGGGAAGAGTGAACAAAAGTCCCCGTGGCAGAGCAAATTAGGTCATGTTAAAAGTGCCTTAGTAGATCTTTGACACTATTGAGCAAATCTTACTCAGAATGTTGTGAATGCTAGGGGGGGTTTGCAAGACAGAATTGTTATTCTAAATTCTGTGTATTTCATCGTCTGCCTTTCTTGTAGCTCTGGAAAGAAGTAAATAGAAAGTTAAAGTTTTTGCTCAGTTTCAGTTGTCTGTTTTCTTTTTAGAACTATATCCTGGAACATTATCTGGTCAATGGGATTTAAATCGAGTATTTGTTCTTGTACTAACGGTGTGTGTTGCAGCCTCAGTATGTAAATAACAGTTCAGGCCCTTCTTTCAGTAGTAAAGTTTTGGATCAGTGGTAGAAGTAAAAAGGGTAGTATTTCATTGCTACATTGCTACAAATCAGGGGTACACATTTGAAGAAATACGGAGCGGGTTCATTTTAAAATGGTACATTTTGACAAAACCCAGATTATTTTAAAGAAAATCAGATCTCTTTTCTGCCTCAGTTTAATTGCTGTTCTACTTCTCTTGCCACCTTGTCATTTTTCTCTTCCTTAATTTTCCTGTGTAATGTTTTTTGTCGTAGATGGGAACTCTGTACTGTGTGAGATATAGATATAGTGCTATGTTGTCCTCTCTTGATCTGTTCACTTGCTGTCATGCTATAGAATATACAGATTCTCTTTTCTAAAAAACACCGTGAAGGTGTCTGTTATTTTTTGCCAAAAGAGCTTGCTGTTGTCTTTGTAATGCTACTAAATCCTTATTCACTGGGGGGAAAGAGCAGTGTAAGCATTTAGTGGTCACATGACTAACTTCTCTTGCTCTTATTTTACCATGTAGTAATTGTAATTGTTTTTACTGTACAGGCTTAAGAACAAATTTATTTGAATTGCTTTTAGGAAATTGCCTCTATATATAGCTTTAGCTAATCAGCTTGGGTCTGGAGAGAAGTTTGCCTCGCTTAAAAAACCACAACCTGTGCAGAGCACACCACTTGCTCTGTTTCAAAGTGTATTTTATTGATAGATCTTTGAAGATTAACAGTTTTTCCAGTAAGTAGAATTTAGTCTTCAGAAGGTAAATGTTGGGTTCAAATAGGACAAATTAACTTCTTGGTGAAATTCTGCGGGTATGTTGGTAATAGAGCTTGTAACTGTTCCATCTAGCCTCAGGAAGGAGTTTGAAGGCAGGGATGGTTTTTTGCTGCCATCTAGTGATACTTTTTCATAAAGCAGAAATTTGAGGTTGCATAGATTTTTAGATACCTTTTGTACTGAATGCTGTGTGCTGAAGAAGAGAAATGTAATCCTCATAATTTCTGGAGGGTGAATTTTTTGGTAAAAAATATCTAGCTGTGAAACATTAAAAGCACTGAATGTAAACTCAGTTACTGTCATCCTTAAATTATAGTTTTATTGTTGTAGGAAGTGTCAAGAAAACCAAACCTAAAATGTTTGAAACTACAAATATAGTTATGTCATATTTGCTATTCTAACAGATTAGACATCTGAGCTGGAGATAAATAACTGATTTTACACATACAGAAATATGAACCTGCATGTAATACTATAAAGTAATAAGCTAGTCTTTGAAAATGCGGTTTGTTTTTTTTAGTATTTTAAGTACAGGGTCCTGTTTTGCTTTTTTTTTTTTTTTTCAAATAGTTCTAGTAAACAGAAACAGATAACCTTATGCTTTAT